AAAAAAAAAAAAACTTTTAAATATTCTTTTAGGACTTGGTAGAATTTTTTGGTCTTAAAAGCAATTTTTTTTATCAGAGCAACCTTAACTTACCAAGAAACATTGGAAGAAAAAAAGACCCAATAATTTGTCTGTTTTGAGAAACGTGGGGAACCTAATGATTTCTCGCAAGGGCACTTTGGATATATTATCATCTCAATATCTAAGCATCTATCCATTGGGCACTCGTAACAACTCTGGTGTTTCTTTGCTGGTAAAAATCAGTATACACATTTGAGCCATCAATGCCATGGCATATGCATTTCAAGTCCAACATGAAAAAGGGTCAATACGTCAAAAGAACTATTTCAACAAAAAATGGAGGCATGGAGCATTTCAAGCCACAGGAATCTTCGGCTCTCCTAAATTCACAAAGGCCTCTGCACGGGCCATGCGAGCCTTTGCAGCATTCCATGATACAAGGTGATTCATAAAGATGTTGACATATTTGCCTCTGTCGTTCTGTTCAAAATTTCCCAACTATCAGAAACCTCCAATAATATAAGGACAGAACAGTTTTAGGTGCTTAATAACTTCTGAAAGAGACAAATAAAGGGTCTTTTAGGAGTAAAGATACTGGTATCAATTTTTAAAAGTATGCCCTGTAATATGTTTAGATGATGACTAATGGGACATATTGAAAAGTCTACAACCAGGGGTAGCTGCAATCCAGGGAGAAACCTTCTTTTTATCAATATAGGTAGAAAATTACTTTATCAAAATCTAATATTACTATGGCAATAATGAACAACAATATACCAATAATACCAATAATAATGTTTTGTGAAACTAAATTTCCAATAGAACCATTTTACAAAATTCATGTTTGGTTATACAGTTGGGATTCTGGTAACATTTCTTGATAAGAGAATGATCTTTTCAATTGCTGAGTTTCAGCACATCAGCAAAGTCTACAGCATTGCATAAAGTCCTTTTTCTCAGACCTTCCACCAATTTCATTGATAGGTAAACTAAAGTTGAACAAAAAAGCTGCTTGGTTTGGACATCACACATTTTGATCAAATTCCTTCCTTGGATGAAGTATGGGCAAGTTCTATAAATGGTATTTTATGGTTGACATGAAAAGACTAATAGGGATGGGATTTCAACCAGAGTAAATCTCTTAGCTCTCATAAAAAGCCTAAGATTGTTTTTCTTTCTAGGACTTGAGAGGGTTGAGGTGGAGAGATATTCACAGGACTTGAGAGAGTTTGGTGGATATGAAACTAGATGATCCTTGAACATCACCAAATTAAAGAAGTTAGAGCAATGGCTTCTAGACACATTCAAATGGATTTACAGACCATCTAACTCATTGGTAGATAGTCTTGCTAAGGTCTAGATCAGATAGTTGATGTTGAGGCCTGGACAATTTGGGTAGTGCTTAGGCAGGAAATGGTTATTTTTTATGTTCTCATTTGATGCTTCTTCAAGGTGATTCAGCATGCTTGTGATGTATATAGCTTTCAAATTTTCCTGTCTTTAGTTTATCTGGCTTAGGATTTTTTTCTTTATGCAGATTTCAGTGTTCTTACCCCTTCTGATCATTGATCGAGTGTAACTGATAAAAATTCATAACAATCAACCTTGGCAATTTAGAGTTTATCTGTAATATGGATAAATAATAGATTGATTATATTAGAGTTCTACATGACAGAATGCTCCTGACACACCAAGATGTACATTTTTTCTAGTTCCATATTCCAACTTCATATCTAATTGAAAGCAATTTAAATTATCAATCAAATCCTAGACAATTTGTTATCCAAATAAGTACAACCCACTTTTGTTTTCTTCTGAATTCTTGTATATATGTCAAATATGATTATCAAACACTAAATCATTAATAACTTTTGGGCATTATGGAAACCAAATTTAAAGTTTTTTCGTTTGGAAAAAATGACGTTTTTCTTAGTGTATTGGGCATCTGCACATTTTCTGATCAACAACTTGGTATCGGAGCCTAGTCTCAATGAAGGTACTATTTCTCATGCACTCTTTGTCCAGCTAACTGCATGAGATAGTTAGAGTGCTAGAGGTTTTGATGTTTGTGGCCTTGTTTGGTGACTTTTGGAGAGATATCGCTTCTGACCAAGTGTTGGACTTGGAGAAGGTCCTGGAAGTCAAGGAAGAACCAGGGAATCAGGTAACGGTGTTTAGTTTTGTGTTTAATACCTAGGCTTTTTGGTACTCAAGGTTTGAAATTAAGGACCCAGTGAATTGGGATACTTCTTGGTATTGAGGTAAACAAATCCTTGTGTTACTAGGCACACCCGTTGGTCTGATACTGCTAAAAGATATGGTTCTCAGTATGATTTTTTTGTGGGGATTTGTCTGCTTTTTATTGTTTGGGAACTTTGGAAGGAAAGAAATATAAGGCAGTGGGAAGGCAAATCAGCTTGTTTCCAATTTGTGATTCATAAAGTCTGGGCTTGGCTCAGAGAGATAGATTCCCACTCCCTCTTCTTTTGCAAAACCGATGTCAGCTTTACAGCAGCTCACTTTGGACTGTCTGCATCTCCCCATCATTCAGGTTAGGATGGCTCATTATGAAATTATTTATCTTCAGCCTCCTCTTCCGGGTTATGTCAAACTGAATGTTGATGGCACCTCTCAGGGTAATCCTGGAATCAGTGGTGGTTGGGTGTGGTTAGAACAGTGAATGGTGATTTTATCTCTGCCTTTTCAAATTTTTATGGGGAAGAGAATAAATTGGTTGCAGAAGTCTTTGCCCTTCATGATGGCATTTGTTTAATTAGAGCTTTGGGTCTGTCCAAAGTTCATGTTTTTTCTGATTCTCAGATTCTGGTCCAGCTGGTTTGTCGGACTTCCCCTTTGCCTCACTATCTTTGGTATTGGGAACAAGAGGATCAGTTTCTGTTGGAGGGATTAGATTTTCATATTCAGCATACTTTTCCTCAAGGTAATCGTCTTGTGGATTCTCTTGCCAACTATGCTTGTGACACAAGAACTTCCACGATCTTTGATGCTACTGCTTTGTTACCTTCCTCTGAATATATGCTTACAAGAGGACCAAATTGGTCTTCCTTATTCAGGTTTTTTGATTTCCTCGATTCAGGTTTTTCGTTTTCTTAGTATAAATATTTTATTAGCTGGAATCTTGGTGTATAGCTTTTTTAGAGGGGTAAGGTATTTATGTCCCCCCTAATTATAAAAAAAAAAAGGTATTTATGTCCCCCCCATAGGTTTTCCTCTGATTATTTTTAATAAAATTTACGGTGGCTACCCCTCCACCGAAAGTTTGGGGTAAAAAAAAGTAAACAAATCCAAACATGGTATTTATACTTCACAAAGAAAGTATGTATTGGATTTGATTAGAGACACTGGAAAGCTAGGAGTAAAGCCTGCAGAGTGCAGACACTGGTCATAAGACAGGTGCTACTGAGGGGGAGATTCTGGGGGATTGTGCCATATATTTAAGACTTGTAGGGAGATGGAAAGAACTGCTCACCTCAAGAGTCTCTTCAAGGGAGACTTTGCCTCCTAAACGGAAAAAATTATTCTTCTTCGATTCTCAATAACTAACAGATATGGCCTTATATAGTGTTGCCTGATTACAATATTGGGAATAACAACCCTCCATAGGAACTTCTGACAAAGGATTTGTTGATGTGGCGCTGGTGGTCCTCTTCCTTTGACCAATGGTGTGCTGGATGAGAGCTAGTGATGTGCCTTGACCTGAATGGGCCGAGCTATTCTCAACAGATCCTCCCCCCTTGAGATGGACCTTGCCCTCAAGGTCAAGGTTAAGGAACCTGTCTTGGAAATGGTAACTTGGGCTCCCAAGTAGCATCTTCTGGCGGGAGCCCAGCCCATTCTACTAAAGCCTCTAGTACGACTCAATTGCCCCTTCGGGCCCAATGATGGTCCACAATGTGTACTTGGTGTCCAAGTCCCCATCTCTAGTGAACCTGGGGTGTGTTTGAGATACAACTGTGCTAGGCCCAACAGCCTTCTTAAGAAGAGAGACATGGAAAACAGGGTGTAACCAGGATGCTGCTGGGACAACTTGTAAGATACCTTGCCGACTTTTTCTAGCACCTTAAATGGGCCAAAATATCGTGGGGCAAGCTTATGCCAAGCTTGGCGGGCCACTAAGAACTGTCCATATGTCTGAAACTTTACATAGAAAAGATCCCCAACTTGAAACTCAACATTCATGTGGTGGGAGTCATAGTCAGCCTTCATCCTTTGTTGGGCTTTTGACAGGTTATCCTTGAGTGATTGTAGGATTTCATCACGGGCAAATAGGCTTCTACTGAGGCTATCATGGTGGACCCTTTGTCGTAAGGGAGAAATGAAGGGGGATCTCTCACATAAACAACCTTGAATGGGGTCATCCCAGCTGTTAAGTGAAAAGAGGTATTATACCAATACTCATCCCAGGGTAACTAGTGGGTCCACTGCCAAGGTTGTTTCGTTCCCCTGCAAAACATCTAAAGTACGTCTCCAAGAACTGATTGAGGACATTAGTTGGCCATCTGATTGAGGATGGCAACTGGTAGACCTGTTCAGTTGTGTCCCTTGTAACCTGAAGTATTCCTTCCAAAATTGGCTAAGAAAGGAAGGGTCCCGATTAGAAACAATGGAGTGTGGTGTACCATGGAGCTTGGCTACATCTCTCACAAAGACCTCGGCCACAAATGCTACAGTATAAAGGTGTGGTAGGGTGGAGAAGTGTTTGTATTTAGTCAATCTGTCAGCTACCACCATTATCACCGATTTCCCCTTAGATTTGGGTAGGCTAGTCACAATATCAATGGAAATATCTTCCCATATCTGTTGGGGAATGGATAAGGACTGAAGAAGTCCAGAAGCGGCTTGTGAGATGTATTTCTTCTGCTAGCAAACATTGCATTCAGCCAAATATTGTTGGATATCTTCCTGCATGTGTGGCCAATAGTAGTGGCTGGCTATGCGCTTAAGTGTGCACAGGATCCCCGAGTTGCGACCCACGGCTGAGTCATGGAACAGTTTAAGCAAGACTGAGAGATGGGATGAACCTGGAGCTACAACAAACCAGCCCTTGTAGAATGAATCTGGGCCAATGAGAGAGTACATGGGCACTAGCTGCACTACAGATGGGTCATAAAGTAATTTGGTCTAAATGTGGTCTAGCTGTAGGTGGTCCCTGGCCTCTTCCCATATAATCTCATATAGGGGATAGATGGGCTGAGAGTGTGAGTTGGACCAATTCTTCTACCCACGACAGTGCATCGACTGTTTTGTTGGATGTAAGGGTGTCAACGGACCGGTTTTGGATTGGACCCCTTCCAGTCCAAAATCAATTTGGATGGATTGGACAAACCAACAAGACATATTGGATTGGACCAATCCGGTCCAAAATATTTATTAGATTGGATTGAACCTGGTCCGTCCATAACAAATTTATATTGGATTGGGTTGGATTAAGCCAATATCTGGTCCATTGATATAAGATAAGAATATGTGTCAATGGACCAGGTTTGGGTTGAAACAAATCTAAATCAAAAGGAATTTGAACAGATTGGATGGTCCAGACATGGAACTGGACCGGTCCAAATTGGTCCAAAACATTCATTGGATTTGGACCTGGTCCATTTATAATGGACTCACATTGGACTGGATCGGATTGGACCAAATCTAGTCCAATTGACACCCCTAGTTGGATGGGCCCGATTTGTATTCTGAGTACCAAGAGTTTATAAATCTACTTTTGTTGCTTTGGTGTATGGAGTCGCTGTTCAAGGAGATGCTTCAAACTTCGTTGGTCTGTTCTACTCACGAACTGCCGGCCCAAAAGATAGGCCCACCACTTTTGGACTACACACATGATTGCCATCAACTCTTTGACATATGTAGACTGGGCTGAGCCTAGGCTAACAAGGCCTTGCTAAGCTAAGGAAGGCAATCGGCTGATTGTTTTACATCAGAACTGCTCCCAATCCTACTCCAGAAGCATCACATTCGAGCACAAAAGGTTGGATGAAGTTCGGTAAACTGGTGGTGTTGAGACCACAACCTTGAGGGTATCAAAAGCCCTTTGGGATTCCTTAGTCCAAACAAAAGAGTCCTTGCAAAGAAGGGAAAACATTATTCCTCTTCAATTCTTAGTAACTTATAGATATGGCCTTATATAGTGTGGCCTGGTTACAATACTAGGCATGGCTAACTCAGATTCCCTTCATAACAACTTCTGACAGAGGATTTGCTGATGTGGCACTGGTGGTCTTCTTCCTTCAACCAAAGGTGTGCTAGATGAGAGTTGGTGATGGGCCTTGACCTGCATGGGCCAAGCTATTCTCAACAAGAGGCTCCTCTAACTATGCATGACTTGGCCAGATATTTCCTATGATGTTAGTGTAGTGAGTCAGTACATGCACACTCCCCATACATCACATATGGCTGCAGTTGATAGGATTGTTGCTTAATGCTTACCTAAAGGGGAGTTCAGGTAAGGGGATTCAATACATGGAGCGTGATCATTTGAAGGTGGAGGTTTAATTTGATATAGACTGGATTGGGTCGTTGTACCTTCATTGGAGGAAATATGATGGCTTGGAAGAACAAGATACAAAATGTGGTGGCAAGGTCTAATGCTGACTTGCTGAGGTAGACTATCATACTATGGCACATGGTTTATTTGAGGCTTGATGTTTGAGATCTTTATTGGGGGAGTTGGGTATAACCATTCAGATGTCTTTATTACTATATTGTGACAATAAGGCAGAAATTAATATTGCACATAATCCTGTACAACATCGTTGAACCAAGAACATTGAGGTGGACCAGGCACTTCATATGGGAGAAGGTAGCACTTGCTTATGTTTGCATTCCTTTTGTGAAGACAGATCAGCAGTGGACAGATATTCAAAAAGAGAGTCCCCAAGGTAGCCCTGCAGTTGATGCTTAGCAAGCTGTGATTCACATATATGCTCAGCTCAACTTGAGGGGGAGGGTAGAAAGGAATGAATTATATTATGTTTACGTTTGCTAGTGGGTTAATGGACTGATTACATGATGTTTTGTATTTTTCTTTTCTACTTAATTCTTATGGACTTATTATTATGAGCTAAACCTATTTTTATTTTATTGTAGTGTCACTTGCTATTTAAACCAAATAGATTCCTTCAATCTGAAAATATTTTGTAATTGACAACTATGTTAATTCATAAGCCTGTTCAGGCTCCACATATCATTACATTTTAGGGCACGAAAGTTCAGTAAAAAATGGATATACTCCTGGTTTTTGATAAATGTTGGGAAAATGAGATTGTTTTAGGCCTTCCTGAAAATGACCTAATTCCTAATTTTAGGAGACAACAGAATCAACACTGTTGACTGAATTTCTAAAAACTAAAATGAAAAGATCCAATTTCCTTTAGGATCCAAACGGGTTGTTGCTAGTTGAGTGGCTTTTGCAAGAGGAGAAAGTGGAGAGAGGAAAATAAATGGATCAAAGTTTTGGGAAGATAATTTGGATGCGAGGCCAAGACAAGTATCAGTAAGGGTGACCATTAATAGCCCGGCCCAGTCCAGCCAAGAAATTCCCAAGCTGGGCTAGGCCAAATACTTTAGTCCTGGTCTGCACATATATGTATATATATTATATTATAAATAAATAATATGATACCTATAATACACAGAATATATAATATTTTACATTATAAAATGTATAACATTAATTTTATGCATATATTATATGTCATATAATATGAAATATCATGTACATTTAATATCTTATATTTGAAGTCATGGGCCTGGAACCCGGCCCATCCCGGAAAATATTTTTAAAATGTTGAAGTTCAAATCCATTAACTAGGCTCAAGGGGCTGATCAGAATTCAGAAGAGACTGGCTTTTCTCTCTGTTGCAAAGGTCACATGTTTAGAACCCACCATTTAGGGTCTAACATGATTTTCTGGATGAGAAATTTACAAAGTTGAAAGATCATAATTATCCACTCATCTGTAGACCCTGGACAATTTGCAGCAACTTTCCAAAGGCATGAAATAATAAAATATTGGAAAGACTCCAAATAGTAAGTTTAGAAACCATTAGATGTATGGATATTTTCAAGATAGGCAAGGAAGACTACTTTTATGCTCCTTCAACTCTGATCTCATTATATGTCGTTATTAGTTTTCCATGAATCAATTATAGATAGTTATCCAAGAATGGTAGGGATTAGTAGCAAACAGTTCTACATACCTTGTAATCTAGATAATAAGCATGCTGCAAGAGGGCAAAGAGAGGAATCATTAGCAATCTTTGAATTTCCAATCCCAAATAGATATGGCAAGACGATTGTTTAATTGGTTGGAACTGAACAAAAATTGGTAATGACGAGAAAGGGGGAAAAAGAAAAAAAATGAAAGATCCTTAATTTACCTCCCACATATCCAAACTTATGATTGGCTGCATAGAAAGAGAGAGAGAGAACACTAATCAAACTTTAAGAGGAAAAATTAGACATGAGATCAAACAGAAAATCTGAGATTGACATACAATATCACCCCAGACAAGTGGAGTAACGGCATTTGATGTTTTAACCACCTCAAGCCTTTTTTCTTTAGTCTTCACTGAAGAGACCAGAACACAAAAACAGATGCAAATTCAGAACCTCAGATGAAGAGAGTGGAACACAAGCAAGTTCATCAAAAAAGTACATATAGTGTATAACTGTAAAATTCAGAAAAACAAAAAGATTATTTACTTAATTAGAGTCTGGGGGGCTAATTTTCCCACCTTGGAGGGTCCTTTTAGCAGAAAAACAAAAGAAAAAGACTAAACCTAAATGTTAGTCATGAATGTAAGAGGATTTTTTTCTTCTTTCAATCTTATGAGCCTTTTCTTTTCTATCAGACGAAGGAGGAAGTCAGGTCTTGCAGACTCAAAGAGGGGCTGATTCAGATTGAGATCTCTTCTACAAACAATCTAGATAAGTTATTTTTTCTTTAAATCACTGAGTTTTGCTTTCTCTTGCATTGTAGGATTAGTTTTAAACAAAAAAATAGGATTTTTCACCGGATGTCCATTTTCTGGGCACTTTCCGATAAGGAAAATGATTCTAATCAGAACCCCATGCCATAGGATCCCAACAAATCCAATCTTGTAGCATTTGGATTTGCAGATTGTGAATTATGTTAAATTTTGGATTGTAACAGGGTGGACGTCAGCCAACTTCAGGCTGCCAGAAAGTGGCCGTCCGACGATGTCTGTGGCCAGATTTTGATTTCAAACTATAGTTCTTGGTGAGCTCTTTGAAACGGTAGGTAGAACTCCTAATTTGGGCTTATGGGTGAAAAGTTATGATCTTGGGGAGTTGACATTCTAAACATCCTGAACCTGGGAAATTCAGAAAGAATGATGATTAGCTAATTTTAGACCATTCAAAAGGGGGTGCAAGATGGTAATTGAAATTTGTGTCTAATTGATAGTATGCCACGATGTCATCTTAATGGTAGGTTATACTTACAAAAACGAATAACCAAATTGAAAGTTACGAGTTTGAGAAGTTGGGTACTTGTTCATGATAAATCTGGGTATTCTGGATTGTTGACAGTCAAATTTGGGTGCTGGAAAACAACCGTTTTGTAATATTTTTTGTTCAAATTCAGTTCTATTTTATAACTGCTCATGGGGAGTCTATATTTGAAAGATAAATTCATAAACTTTTTATTAGAAAATGAGCCATAAATGTTGGAAACTAGACTCTGGAGCATGTTAGCTGAAAATCAGAAATTAGAGAAACTTAGAAGCCTAAAGCAATAAACCAGTTTAGATTAAGTGGGATTTGTGCAATGAGCTAGAGGCATATGCATCATGCACACAGCATAAACAGTTCAGAATTTGTTGTAATATTTATTTATTTATTTATCTATTTATTATTTATGTAGGCTTTCACGACACATCTTGACTTGGAATATATTTTTGGTACTTGGGATTTAGTTTACCAGGTAAGCAACCTTCCATCTCCTTGGTTAGTTTTGAAAATGTTAATTGAACAAACATTTTTAGACAATTGTAGTTTAGAATTATATTGATTATGAAACTATAGGTTACAAGAAAACATTTTTAGACAATTGTAGTTTGGAATTATACTGATTAAACTATTAGCTATTTGAAATGATTTATTTGATACCCCATCTTTCTTGAAATACTTCATTGAATTTTTTTGAATATTTGGTATCCAAGTCGGATATGTTTGACTATTATTGGTAAATGTGCTATTGAGACTCATTCGTGGATTGTTGTATTTGTCTGCATTTTGAGATTAAGTGACTACACTATGGACCCCGCCATTATGAATACGGTGACATCATAGACTATTCTGTTCTAGGCCCTTACCACAGGGCATATATGTGGTTCTAAACCTTACCACTAAGGTTAGAGTAGTCATAGTGTCATAGTCTACATTCTAAATCTATTACACATTCTACATTATGTGTTTCAAACCATTTTGTTCTAGTATATAAGTTTTGTTTTGTAACTATTTGAGTTGTTATTTCCTTTAATAGAATGAATTTGTTGTAATCATTATTATATAATGATTTCTAACACTGTTGATCTGACTAATGGGATGCATAGTTGTCAAGGCGACACCTAGGCGACAAGGTGCCCTTGGAGGCTCGCCTCGCCTAGTCGCCAAGCCGTTTTGTGCACTGGGTTATAAAATACTTTTATATTTTATATTTTTTGACATTATAATTATAAAATAGACATTACTAAACTAGAAAGTTCATTTTATATGTTTATATACTAATTTCTTTTTATTATTTTCTTATTTTGTTAGGGTTTAATCAACGCAAACATTGCTAACTGCTGTATTGAACCCATGGTTCAAAGTATCGATACACCTCTGTCTATCGGCAGAGGTGTATTGGTACTTATAACGATACTCCCCCTATTTTTTTATTTCTTTTGTTTTCAATTTCATTTTTAAATATATATTTTTAAAAAAAAGGGTCCCTGAAAACACCTGTAAACAGGTGTATCGGGACCCCAAAGATACAATACAATACACCCAATATGGGGCGTATTGTATCGAAATTTTGATCCTTGATTGAACCAGAGAGCTGACGTGGAGTTCTTCTTTTGTAGGTCTTGAGTTTGGGCTGGCTATTTCCATACACCGGCCTGGGTTCAGTGCAGCTTGTCCTAACAATACCCCCCTGTCAAGACAAACCTTGGCCTCAAGGTCAAAATAGGGAAACTGGTGGTGGAGTTGGATATAAGGCTCCCATGTTGCATCTTCCTTGGGTAGTTGAAACCACACTACTAGAGCTTCCGATTCAACATGGTGTCCTTTCTTTACCCAACGAAAATCAATAATGGATTGTGGCTCTGTGACTAAAGCCATGTCTTCAATAAACTTGGGTAGAGTGGGCTGACTTACTACATCTGGCTTGAGACCTTTCTTCAGAATTGAAATGTGGAATACAGGATGAATTTTAGAGTGTTCTGGTAGCTCCAAGCGGTAGGCAAGCTTGCCTATCCTTTCGATGATCTTGAAAGGTCCAAAGTAGCGTGGAGACAACTTGTTCTAGCGTTGTTGCCTTACTGATAGTGAACGGTTGGGAAGCAACTTCAAGTATACAAAGTCACCTACTTGATATTCCACCTCCCAGTGGTGTCTGTCATATGTGTTTTTCATCCATTGTAGTGCTTGGTTCAAGTTTTGTTTGAACTCTTGTAGATAGCATCCTGTTGGGTCAATGCTTACTCCAATGAAGCAACTGGAGAGGAACCCTTTTCGTAAGGCAGTAAGCCGGGTGGTTCTCGACCATATAAGGCATGGAAAGGTGCCATTCCCGCAACCACATGATAGGTGGTACTATACCACCACTCAGCCCAGTGGAGCCATTGGGTCCAACGTTTGGGTGTGGAACTGTGGACCCTGAAAAACAACGCAAGTATGTCTCCAAGCATCTGTTGACTACCTCTGTTTGTCCATCTGACTGAGGATGATAGCTAGTTGATTTCCTTAGTTGAACACCCTGTACACGAAATAGTTCTCTCCAAAATGTACTAAGGAACACGGGATCCCTATCCGATAGAATAGATTTGGGAAATCCATGGAGGCGGGCTATGCCTAGGACCTGGGTGAGGCGCCTACCTTAAAATGCACCTCGCCTATGTGCCTTTTAAATCAATGGCTGAGATAACGGAGCTGAAGTACCAACTTCACTTTTTAACTGAGTCACAGCCAAGTCATGACCAAATAGTTCTCTTGAACCCATTTAGCATATGAAGGGTCTTCCTTGGCTGGTGTTTTTACATCTCCACTCACATAACCTAAGTTCCCTCTGCTCCCAATCGCCATCATGGCTGACTGAGCCCACTCCAAGTAGTTAGAACCATCAAATTTAACTAAGTTACATAACTTAGTTAGGTAGTTGTTGGGCCTTAGGCCCATTAGTTTATGTCTAAGTTAAGTGTGACTTCTCAGCTTCTTACAAGTAGCCGACTTACTAAGGGCATACTTGTACTTGTACACTCTTTATCTATGAGTATATAATCTAATGAAAGGGGCAGCCAGATAAGATTTTTGGCTGATCCTTCATTCTCTTCTCTCTCTCCTCTTTCTTTCTAGCAGAAACCTTTTCTTCTCTTCTTTCTCTTCTTTCTTTTACAGATTTTATATCAAAACTTTTCTACTTAGTATTAGAGCCAAGTTAAAGGTTTCTTGAACTGCTCCATCATGCAGCCCTAGATCGGCTGACTGCATGATGAGGTAAAGGGTTGATCGGAGACTTCAGGTAAGCCCAGTTCTTGGATTTTTTGATAGATTTGCAATCCCTTGTAGCTGGTCTAGGGTTTAACACCAAAATCAAGAAGAACTGGAGAAAGGGGGAGAGTCCTGATTTAGGACTCTTCAGTTTTGACCCAAGAAGAAGTGCTCTAGTTTTCTAGGGTTCCTTGAGTTTTTCTGAAGGGGGCGGTTCAAGTCCCAGCTATTTTGGAGGCCTTTGGAGGGAGCAGCAACCTCTTCTCTCTCTTCTCCCGCTCCCACGGAAAAGGGAATCTTTGGAGGGAGGGACTTCTAGGTACCAAAAGGGTGTTTGAGGTTTCTGAAGGAGATAAATATTCTCTTTTCATCTCAAATTGATTTTCTAATCCTTTTTGGAGTTATGGAGGGCTGTGGAGTTGAAAACAAACTTGGAAGTGAAATTGGACAAGGGGAAGGAGGTGCTAGAGACCTCTTCGGGCTAGAACCATCACTACAGTCAAGTTAGATGGTACAAACTACTTAGAGTGGTCACAATCTGCAAAGACAGCCATTGGTGCTCGTGGGAAATTGGGGTATGTCACTGGTGAGGAAAAGAAACCTGAAACTAACTACTCCCGGTGGGTACAGGAGAACTACATGGTGATGACTTGATTAAGTCCCCAGAGAATGGCCTGAGTGGGATCTTGGTCTTGTTTCAGGAGACAAGATAGACTGATTGAGTTTGGGCCTCTTATGGGTATACCCCGTAGGCAGATCTTGGTTCCATTTTCCATGAACTCCATTGACAACTGGGCCCAATCACACAGTACCGGCCCCAACTGCCTCGGCCACTGGATTCCCAATACAATA